ATCAATCTTTCCTCTCTTGATATTTTTGTCCTACCATGTGTTACAGGAGAATTTTTTATGTTACCACACCCTCATTATGGGTAGTTTTTGGTTTTTGGACACTTTATCTATATATCATAGACAAGAAGAAAAAAAAAAGAGATGGGAGGTTTGGTGGTAGAGGATAGACAAACTTGAGAGCCAAGGAAAAGAATGAGATTTCATCCAATCATAAAGTAATTATTCGAATCAAAGAAATGACAAATTAAAATAAAGGTTAGAAAGTGAGGGAATGAAACTATGATTCGAATCAAGTATGCTCTATAATTTGAGTCAAAGAGAGTTGCGATTCAAATCATACTCTTATGAATTGAATCTAGAGAGGTTGTGGCAATTTCTAACTTTCAAATGAGTTCATGATTTGAGAATAATATCCATTCCTAATTGTATAGAAGTTTAACACTTTTAGAATTTAAATAATTTAGAATAATAATCACTTTTTCCCTATATTAATCTTCAATATACACCTTAATCCAAGAAAAGATTAATTCTAGCATCGAAATCTACGCTATACTTACGCATCCAAGATCAAGTTCTCCAACATACCTTTAATTTTTATTTATTTATATATTCCATTTTGTTATTAAAAAAATAGTAAAATTAAAGGTAAAGTTTACAATGATTAATTTTTCATCATTCTTCGAATCTTTGCAAGGATCAGATTAATGTGACTACGTGAGGACCCATATGCTTCCCTTATTATTTAACTGGTCAAAGTTATTTCAAATACTGCTTTCTCAATTATCGTTACTATTTTTCGTTTAAAAACTTTACAATAATAAATTGTACTCTATGGGTACCATCAGAAACTCAATACAGTTCAGGAAAGTTAACAGAAAAATATTAATTATCTGGATTAATCCTAAGTTTAGGTTAGCCTCTATCTTTCAATTATTAATTATTTCCATTATCATATTATTATATATTTAATAAATTAATTTCCAAATTTTCACATTTTAAAAATAAATATATAAAATATCGTGCATTCAATTTTGCACAATCACCAACTAAGATAATTTAGTAGATTTGTTCACTATCTTTTTTATTGTGCAACTTATAGCATGATACAAGTTACATTTATATATGTGTGCTATGGTAAAGAGACTCTAGCTACCTTTCATTCATATCGATAAGAATAAAATGGTGTGGATAAAGTAAATCTTTCATATCAAATCCCAAAATAAAGAAGAATATAGAAAGCAAAAATAAAAAATTTATATAAATTAAAATTATTTTATAAACATTAAGAAAAATATAACATAGGACATACTCCATCTATAGTCTAACAATATCTTCAATGATAACATATACACACACATTAAAGATATTAAACATAAAATTCTTTTGAGTTTTTTTATCAAAAATTAAGAGTGCAAATTTAGACTTTAAAAATAAAAGCACAAACTAAACAACATAAAAATATAAATAAATAGACCTGATAGAGGAATAAATTACAATACGTAAAAAAATGTTAGAGGAGTTTTATACTAAGAAGCATTGAATATTATTCAAAGGGTAACATAAGTGAGACAAACACCACATATTTACCTAAAACCTCTGATACCATATTAGAGGACTTTTACACTAGGGAGCGATGAATATTATTCAAGAGCAACACAAGTGAGAGAGAACTCATACACCTTAAGGTTTTGGGTGAGTATGTGGTGTGTCTCTCACAAAGGTGTTGCTCTAAAAAAAGAAGCCACACAATGTTCAATGCTCCCTAATGAAAAAACTCTTCTAACAGTGGTATTAGAGTCTGGTTCGAGTGAAGGACCGGCTCACTCGTATCGAAAGTACTCCCCATAGATGGTGGTCAAGAGGTGTCCCGTTGAAGAGTGTCAACGGCGGTACAAGGGTGGTGAGCAAGAAACACACAACAGAAAGTGCAGTTGCATAGTTGAAGCCTCCTCTTAAGGGAGCATTATGGAAGCATTGTAGAAGCATTGTGGGTCTTCTCTTTCTAGAACAACACTTTTGTGAGAGACACGCCACATACTCGCCAAAAACCTTAAGGTTTTGGGTGAATATATGATGTCTCTCTCACTTGTTATATTTAACACTTCCTTTTAAGTGTGAGTCCACAATGCTCCTCCCTCATATGGAAACTCTTATGTCCACATATATTTGTACCGCCATTAACACCTATTACTAGGCACCTCTTATTAGGTATTTCAAATACACCTCTCCCTTGTAAGTCAATCCCTTTTACGAACCAAATGCTCATTCCAAGAGCAACACAAGTGAGAGATACACCACATATTCACCCAAAACATCTAATACCATATTAGAGGAGTTTCACACTATGGAGCATTGAATATTAGGTCAAGAGCAACACAACTGAGACACAACACATCTCACTTAAAACTTTAAGGTGATAGGTGTATAGGCTCTTCCACATATAAATGCTCAAGTCACCACATACCTATTCAATGTGAGACTATTTTCTCACTTACTCACACTTGTTATATTATTCCAATAAAAAAAATCCTTGGCAGCTTTGGGTGGGAGAAACGTTACAATCAACAATGTTGTGAGATCAGATACATAGTGGAGAGATACACACATTTTTGTTAAGTTTGAGATTCTAAGAACAATCTTAATAAACTTTTTATCTTTTAGTGTCGGTGACTCCAGCGGCGGCTGGATAAAAAAAAAAGAGAAATAGTTTGGTAGTTTGCGGTTAAAAGAAAGGGTATCTGACGAATGATTTAGTTCCGATAAAAACATAATAGTGAGATTGAATGAACGAGATACTACCCTTTTCGGAGAAGGAGATAACCACCATATAAAAGAGAGATTAAAGCTACCATAAAGATTGGAGATTGTCACCATCAAACTTTAAAAATTTGGAGAAAGATTTTCTAAAAACATCTCTGTAAAAAATTATTTTCTATTGAAATTCTTATATAAATTATATTTTTAAATTGTTGTTAGTAAATAAAAATGAATGCGATAATCGCTACAACGGTATCAATTGCATTAAAAATCACATTAAATAATATATATATCATATTTGTTCAAATTTTGTCAAATGATATATATATATATATATATATATATATATATATATATATATATATATATATATATATATATATGGGTAAGTAAAGTTGAGAGGTGAAAAACATGATAGAAAAGTAGGTAGTCAAAAAGTAAAAAGAGTGAAAGTTGATAATTAATGTGATACAGAAAATGTTTTGTGGTTAGAAAGAAAAAACAAAATTGGGATGAGTTAAGTATAAATGAAGTGGGAACAGAAAAGAGTGTGGATTAGAACAGTATATATCAGTTGTGTTTCCTTTATTTGGCAACACAAAAGGTTTTTAAAAATGGATTGTTGGAAATTAGATGAGATTAATAGAAAAGTTGATTGCAGGAAGAGAGAGTGAAAAAAAAGAGAGGCAATAATGCTACGAAGGATAGGAGACAGAGAATTGCTTTTTGGGTACTTGGGGAATAATATGCTGTCTCTCTACGAGGATTGGCGTGGAGAGACTGTCTCTGTGTTTTTTCTTTAATCTTTATCATATTTTTTAATTTGATATTTCGACCGATTAATTTAAAAAGATCAATTCTACAATTTTACGATTACTCTTTTTAATACAAATTGAGTTGGTTGTATTTGAAATTAAATTTTTTAATTTTATACAATTATATATATTTTTTGATAATTGAATATTTTGTACGCGCCGATGGTAATAGTTGAGATTAATTTTTTGAATTATGAGACAATTACAATGGCAAAATTTTCTTTCCATTTTTCTCCTTTAGTACAATTTTTTTGAATTTCTGATGAGTTTGTCTGCCTATTTCAAAGAGTGATGTGTAAGGAGTGAAGCTTTATGACTCCAACTTATAATTTTGAATTGTGAGGTGACTATTATTTTATTCTCTAGTTTTTTTTTAACCAACATCATCAAATTTATTAATTATCTTATCTCATTAATTAATCAAAGGAGCTAAGTAGTTTCACTTTTATTTTTATTATTATTATTATTATTTTCTATTTTCCCTCTTTGTTATTTCAAACTTATCTATAGAACATTATTTTTTTTTTGGTAAAAAAATAAACATACATAATTTATATTTATCAAATTCAGTAAAAATGTGCATTATAGAAATTGTTTTGATTTTAATAATTAAGGTCCCAAAAAGTGAAATGATTATAGAAAAAATAATTCTCATTCTAATAATTAATAAAATATATTTTTCTAATTTTTAAGACATATTGATCAACCAAAAAATACAGATAGATTAATTTTATTTTTTTTTAATTTGAACTCAAAACACTGAATTCTAATGAAAATTGTTCTTTTCTAAACAAAAAAACTATTTTGAAAAAAATTAGGTGAGTGAAAGAGTTCAACTAATACATATTAGTTGAGTTAAACAAATATGAACTAGTATTAATGTAAATAAATTTACTATATTCAAAAAAAATAAAAATTATTTTAGATTAGACATAAAAGAATATATTATTACATCATGCATATTTAGATTGGTATATCACTACCTTTTGAAAAAAAAAAGTTGGTATGAAATGATTTCTTGTTACTATATCAATAAACTTAATTCAAACTAGAATAAGAGAGAGAGAATGAGAATAATGAAGTGGAAATAAAAAGCTAACAAAAAGCTGCTTCTTTAAACTATAACCAAAAGAGAAATAATCAAAAGCAAAAGTTAAAATAAATAAATTGAAAAACAAAAAATAATCATCAAAAAAGATGTATAAAGAAGAGGTGAGTCCTAGTCTTGAATATATTTCTCACTCTCTTTCTCTTTCTCTCATCTTTCAAACCATTTTCTTCCATTTTCAAGAGGAAAATCTTCACCTTTGTAGGGTGGTGGTGGTGGAGAGAGGAAAAAAAACCATAGAGTGAACATAAAAAACAAGTGTGGTAGTGAAGAAAATCTCAAGTTTCGGGGTGGAGAGGGGGGGTGTAATTAGCAAAGTAATGCGCTCAGGAGCTTATACATTGCAAGAGACACTAACAGCCGAGGCTGCTTCAATCTTGAAGCACTCTTTAGGCTTAGCACGTAGAAGAGGCCATGCACAAATCACACCTCTTCATGTTGCTGCTACATTGTTGAGTTTATCTTCTTCTTCCTTAAGAACCGCATGTCTCAAATCACAGCAACAGAATAACCATCCTCTACAATGTAGAGCTCTTGAACTTTGTTTCAATGTTGCTCTCAACAGACTTCCAACTATAACAACTACTACTCACTCTTCTCCTTTGCTTCAGCCTCATCAACATGTTCCTTCTCTTTCTAATGCTCTTATTGCTGCTCTTAAACGAGCTCAAGCTCATCAAAGAAGGGGGTGTATTGAGCAAAATCAGCAGCAACCTCTTTTGAGTGTCAAGGTTGAGCTTGATCAGCTTATTCTTTCTATTCTTGATGACCCTTCTGTTAGTAGGGTTATGAGAGAAGCTGGTTTTCAAAGTGTTTCTGTTAAAAACAACTTAACACAAAAAAGCTCTTCAAATTCTAGCCTTTCAGTTTTTCATTCTTCTTCACCTTCTCTTAGTCATAACAAACATTTCTTGAGTTCTTATGGTTATGGTTATGGTTATGGTTATGGATCAGTTCTTTTTTCTCCTCAGAAGAAACCACAAGTGTTTAATAATAATAATGATAATCATAGAGATGATGTTAATGTTAACCTTGTTTTTGATGTTCTTTTGAGGAAGAAGAGAAACACGGTGATAATCGGCGATACGGTTGCGTTAACCGAAGGACTAGTTGGTGAGTTGATGGAGAGATTCGAGAGAGGTGAAGTTCCTGATGAGATGAAAAAAGCTCATTTTGTGAAGTTTAATAGTCTTGCTTCGGTTTCTGGTTTGAAAAGGGAAGAAGCTGAGATGAATGTTGTAAGAGTGTTGAAAAGGAAGGTTAGTGAATGTGTTGCATTAGGTGGTGGTGGAGGTGTTTTTTATGTTGGAGATTTGAAGTGGATAGTTGAATCTGATCATGATGATGATGATGGTGATGAGAATTTAAGTGATTATATTGCAAATGAAATAGGAAAGTTGTTTGGTGAAAAAGGAAACAACAAGATTTGGCTTATTGCAACAGCTAGTTATCAAACATACATGAGATGTCAAATGAGGATACCGAATCTCGAGAATCAATGGTGTCTTCAAGCTGTTCCTGTTCCATCTGGTGGACTTGGTTTGAGTCTTCACTCTTCAAGGTAATTAGTTAATCTGTTATTAGCTTAATTAATCACGTTTTACTTGGTTAATTTGTTTTGCAATTTGTTGGTAAGTATGTACGGTTTATGGCAGAAGCACTGTAAAAAAGCATGGTTGGTTGGTAAGGTAAGGTAGACGTGAAGCAGTGCCTTTCTGCTTCACTTTGTTTTGTCAGTATGTAAACAAAACCTCTTTAGACATTACGGATTCACATGATGTTTTGTACAAGGTACTATGCTTTATCAAAAGCAAAACCATAAAGTAGAAACATATACATGCAAATATGGTTATGTTTCCAATGTTTCATTCTCTTGAATATGACTTGTAGTAACCTTTTAGAAGGTATTAAGTTTAATAATGTAATAATTAAGTTATAAGTAGGTTTTAAATAAAGGTCGCAGTCGCGTCGGAGTTGTATAAAAGATTTTGCGGTTTCCGTCGGTTAAGGTGTTACGATACTGATTGTGGTCGTGGTATTGTTTAGAATCTTACTTATTCTTAGAATCTTAGTTATAAAATAGGCATGACTAAAAAAATGATATAAGAATTGGTAATTTTTACTTGAACTTCAATTAAAAGCATGTCTGATGTATGATAGTATCAATGTTCGAAGTCTGGCATATGACAATGTCTGACACTGACATATGTGGTCGGTTAAGTGTTGTGTTTGCATCTGTGTTAATGTTTAGTTTCTTATGATGCAGATATATTCAAAACTCGATATTATGTATTTGTTTAATATTGGATGCTAATTGGAGTTTGTTACTCAATTTGCAGTGTACATGATTCAAAAATGAGCATAACTCAAAACCCATCTCTTATGATGGAATCAAAGCTCTTTAGTAACAAAGACGAACATGATAAGCTTAATTGTTGCGAAGAATGTGGTTCGAGTTATGAAAAAGAAGCTCAATTGTTCAAACCACCTCAGAAGAATCTGTTGCCTTCATGGCTTCAGTCTCATAGCACAGAGGTGAATCATCATAAGGTACCAAAGTTTTAGCTTTTTTTTCTTCTCATTTTGCACAATTGAAGAAAAAGTGACTAATGAAAAATTCAATTATTTTTCAGGATGAGTTAATCCAGTTGAAGAAAAAGTGGAACAATTTGTGCCAATGTCTCCACCAGAACAAACAACCTCAAAACCATTGGAACAACCTTTACAATTCAAATGCAAAGATCTATCCTTATAATTCATCATACCCTTATTGGCCAAACCAAGGTAGTAGTATTCTGCCAGATTCATCAAGTTCAATATCTTTTGCTGATTCTGTAACCAAACCAGCTTATAGCTCAAACATTATACCTCGGTTCCGGCGCCAACAACAATCATCCACCATTGAGTTTAATTTCAATGATGAAAAAACACAGAAAAACCAAATGGCAGCAACGAGCTTGGATTCTCTTAAGGGTATTATGGATGAAACTAAAGAAGTAACGACAGCTCTTGCGCTCGGAACCTCAACATTCAATGGTTCGGACCTTAAAAAAGTCGAAAATTTACAAATAGATCATATTTGTAAAGTGTTGCAGGAGAATGTTCCATGGCAATATGAAGCAGCAAGTTCTATAGCAGAAGCTTTGGTTGATTCGAAATTGACGAAGGAATGTGCTACTTGGTTGTTTTTGCAGGGGAATGATTCTGTTGGGAAGAAAAGGTTGGCACTTGCAATTGCAGAATCTGTCTGTGGATCAGTTGATATGTTATTTCAATTGGATATGTTGAAAAGAGAGAATTCAGAAACACCCTTTTCTGAAATAGTTGTTGGGCTAATGAGAAGCCATGAAAAGTTTGTTCTTTTGGTTGAAAATGCTGATTTTGCTGATACCCTTTTGAGGAAATTGATTGAAGATGAATTTGGGATAGGAAAGTTTGGAACTTTAGGCCAAAAGATATTCATATTGACCAATGGATGCAATGTGGTTAGTGAAGATCAGAAGAAGGATTCTGTGATGAAGTTGGTTTTGCAGATTAGTGAAACTGAAAAAAACCCGACTTTGGAGTTATCTTCGTCTTCGTCATCATCACCTTGTTTGAGTTTTAAAAGAAGGGCTGAACTTGATTTGTTTAGCAAGAGTAAGTATCCAAGGATTGAAGAAAATGAAGGGAACAAAAAGATAGAATTTTCATTTTCAAGACAATCAAGTTTCAACAACACTCTTGACTTGAACATGAAGGCTAATGATGAAGAAGAAGATGATGATAATGATGATAATGTTCATGAGGGAGAAAATAGTCCAATTTCAAGTGATTTGACAAGAGAAACATTAGGAGAACATTTGATCTCGAATGGTTCACTTGATTCAATTGAGTATTCGTTCGAGTTGAATCAAACTCCGGGTAAGAACAAGGAAACGACAGAGATGTTTATGTCAAGGATAAAAATGTCATTTAAGGAGGTTTATGGGAATGTAAAGTTTAGTGTACAAGATAAGGTGATAGAGGAAATTGGTGTTGGGTGTGAGGGTTTTACTAACAACATGTTTGAGAAATGGCTAAAAGAGATTTTTCAAACAAGTTTAGAAAGAGTTAATGGTGGGGGTAAAGATGGTATAGTTTTTACACTTTGTTGGGGTGGTAAAGAGGATAGAAAATGGGATAGAGGGTTTATGGGTTCATGTTTGCCTAAAAATATCCAAATTGTTAACTACTTAATGGATTGATCATATGACTAACTTTGGTTAGTGGTGGGGGGTGACAAGATGTAAAATGGTAGTAATAGGTACTTTTGTGTAACTGCTAATTTTCATTATAGAATGTGTTTGTTTTTCATGTTTTCAATTCTCTTTTGTTGACCGTTTCTCACCTTTCTTTTTTGTGAACTCTTTCTTTACAATCATGAGCACCATCTTGTTATGAGTAAAAATCGAAATCGGTTCTCAGAGTTTATGACACTCACAACATACTATAAATATACTACATACTAAATTGAACTCGGTTTCTCAGAGTTTACAACACTCACACATGCTGTAAATATACTACAAACTAAATCGAACTCAGTCTTAGAGTTTACAATACTCACACATACTTCACACTAAAACGAACTTGGTATCTTAGAATTTACAATACTCAAACATACTACACACTAAATCGAAGTTAGTATCTTAGAATTTACAACACTCAAATATACTACACACTAAATCGAACTCAATATCTCAGAGTTTACAACACTCACGTATACTATAAATATGATAATGTAGGTCAGAGTTTACAACACTCACGTATACTATAAATATGATAACGTAGGTCATCCAACACTTGCTCATTTGATTGGAAGAAAGCTAATTTCATTTTCATACAAAGTTATATACTATCTGAATATAGCTATGCTTCTTGTTTGATGGAGGATATATGCACAAGTTTTTAGTCTCATTTTTTCTTACCTACCACTTTTAAACCTACAAGCAATGAAGGAGGCCATATGAATGAGGGCAGCAGCTAGTTGACATGGTGTTGTGTGATAGTTAAAATGGAATTCACTTAGAAAAATGATCAAGTAGACCAAAAAAGAACAAAGATATCAAGCTGCATTTTGGGAGGCAAAGACATTGCAAAATGAAAGATATGCTTGGAGGAGAGATTATACAATGTTGACAATCTTGCTTCTTCTTTTTTTTAATTTAATTTTTATACATGATATATTTGTACTGTACATTTGTACACTACGAAAAATATTTTATACTCTGAAAATATTTCCTACTTCCTACTGCACATTTGTACTATCATTATTATTTTATATAAAAATATGATTTTAAAATATTCTGTTCCGGTGTGGGCCTCACCTCGGCAGGCCCAATACCAAATGCGGCCCAACAAGCGAACTGGGCACGCCTGGCACGCGCCCCTTCGAACGAGCAGGGGCTGGCCGCCGGGCACAAGCTACCGCTCCGCGTCCCCTTTTTGTCGTCCGTCACGCCGGACGAGCAAGACCACCCGGGCTCCCTCCGCGGGAGAATAACGTGCTCGGCGCACGTTCTCCACGTGCTCCCCTCCGCGGGGACACGTCATCGGCCAACCGCCCACCTCCGAAAGAGCAGGTCAAATCCACTTTCCGGAGACCTAGGAGCGGTTGAACTAGGGCGAAGACCACGTCCTGGTCTTCACTACGCCACGTAAGCCCTAGCAGTCATTAGGGTTGGGCCTGGTCGTCTGGCCCACCTCGAATGACCGTTGGCCCAGCGTTGGGGTCTCTCTATAAATACCCTCTTCTTCAAGAGGGTCAGGTATCTCTTCTTGCCCCCTTTTTCTGTACTACTGCTTCCTCCCTGTCCAACTTCTTACTTGGGCGTCGGAGTGCTTTGCAGGTACACCCCCCTCCTCATTCTTACCCCGGCGAACAGGAAATCGTCCAGCGAAGTGTGGCCAGTCCGTGATCCCTCCTGATCAGGTCAGATCAGTGGCGCCGTCTGTGGGAAACTGAAACTTCCCCGTTACTCCGAGCAGAGAAACCAAAAGTTTCACCAAACCTCCACGGTCATGGCCAGCCCACGCCGCGATGACACTCCGCACGATCTTGCGCTCAACACCGCCACCAACGGGAAGCAGATAGGAACGACACGCCTGACGGAAGCCGACGAAAGGGACGGGCGAACTGCTTCACCATCATCCGAGGAACGGCCCCTACAGGCCGACCATCGCCCCCCGAGCCCACCAGCTTTCCACCCCGTTCCCATCCCGGCGGGAGCAGACCCAACGGTAGCCGCTCTTTTTGCAGCCATCAACCAGACGAACCAGCTGCTGTCCCAACAGAACGCTAGAATTGGAGCATTGGAACGCGGCGGCTCCCCGAGGTACCCCCAGCGGGAAGACCAGAACGGAGGTTCGAGGAGCCCCTCACCTCGACTCAGGAACCGCCGACCGCGGCTGGAGAGACGCCGCCCGCAAGCGACACGGGAGCGCACCAGATCCCCGGCGAGGCACGGTCGCGGGAGGAACCAGAATGTCGCGGCGATCCCAACCGAGGAACCCCGAGGCGGAAACTCAGGCCGAAGATCAAGGACCCGAAACCCGGGACACACCGCGAACGGCTCATCCCCCCTGAGATCCCCGGCGCACAGCGACGAGGATGACTACCGCACCCCGCTATCCCGGGAGATCATGGCAGCCCCCATACCCCAAGGAATGGAGAAACCACCGACACTGTCAATGTACGACGACACCTCCGACCCGGACGATCATCTGGAAGATATCGAGGCTATGCTCGACTACCGAAATTTCCGGGGAGCTATTAAATGCAGACTCTTCCCGACGACCCTGAGGAAAGGCGCTATGACCTGGTACAAAAGTCTGGAGCCCGAGTCAGTTACATCGTGGAGGGTCTTGAAGGACCTATTCTCCAAACACTTCACGGCGTCCCCGCGTCACCCGAAGACGGAAGCAGTCCTCGGGGCGATCATCCAAGGCCCCGACGAACCTCTCCGGAAATACATCGAAAGGTTTACTCAGGAAGCCGTGCAGGTGACGACTTCCGACGAAATGAAACGCTACTTAATGGAGCAAGGCCTGCGCCATGACTCCAAATTCTACGAGGCCGTAGGCATACACCGGCCCACGTCCCTCCAAGACTTCCTCGACAGGGCCGCCCATTACATCCGGTTCGAGGAAACACAAGCGGCCAACTCCGCTCGCGACACCCGAGACAGAGAAGCCCCCCGCGGGCACCGAGACGACGGAGCTTCGAGCCACCGACGAGGAGGGGACCGCCGTCGGGATGATCGCCACCGCGAACCCCGCGAACAGCGCGAGTCACGCGGCCCGGCAGGAAGGTTCACCGAATACACCGCCTTGGTCGCTTCACGCGAACGCATACTGGCCGAATGCGCTAAAACCGAGTTTGTGCAGGGAGGTGTCCGCTTTCCACGACCAACGCCGCCCAAACCCAACGTGGACAAGTCAAAGTACTGCCGGTTCCACAGGACCCACGGGCATGTAACGGAAGACTGCATCCATCTCAAAGATGCGATCGAAATCCTAATCAAAGACGGACACCTAAAGCGATACACCCGGGGAGGTGAACCACCTAGGTCGGAGGCTCCGGAGGCAAAGAAAATCGAGGAACTCCCCTCCCCAGAGGACGGCGAGAGACTCCAGGTCGCGCTGTGCGTCAGCCGCCCCGAGGATTGGTTCACAAGCAGAGGGTTCGGCATCCCCGAAGGACCAAGCCTAGTCGACGAGCCAATCCGACCAACCAGCCGATGGGAATACTTCCCCAGAGCCATGGTCATCTCTGATGGAGCTACGAGGAGTCTGTCCATAGGATCTGTGAAAAGGAAATTCGACGAACTCATCGCGGGCAACTCCGGCAAGATGAGCACGCTCGACAGATTCCGAGGACGCTCCAACCCGATCACATTCTACCTCGAAGAACTACCCGGGGGATCTCCCAATTCCAACATACCCTTGCTCATACGTGCACGAATGGCAAACTTCGACGTCAGGCGCCTCCTCGTCGACGGAGGGAGCTCGGTCGACATAATGTACTCACATTTTTTCACAACTCTCCAGCTCAACGAATCCAACCTCTCCCCCTACGTGGGCTCCGACCTCCAGGGGTTCAACGGGACGACGACGAGACCCTGGGGATACGTGGAACTGAAAGTCACCTTTGGGGAAGAGGAAACGGCCAGAGACATCAACGTCCGCTTCTTAGTCATCGAATGCCCGTCCCTATATAACTGCATCCTGGGCAGGACGACGATAGCAGAACTCACCGCGGTACCCTCCACCGTCCACCTAAAGATGAAATATTACACGAGAAGGGGAGCCGTGGTCACCCTCAACGGCGACATCGAAGCTGCCCGAAGGTGTTTCGAAGCCGCGCTGAAAGGCCTCGACTCCATCGCCCCACCGACCAAAAAGAAAGCGCCAAGCGCCACGCCAAAGGACAAACCAACAGAGCTGGTCGGATCAGTTGAGCTCGACAGTCGCTTCGCCGACGGGCTCGACAATAAAAAGACTGACGAAGCCAAAGAGCAGCCCCCGCACCCAGCGCGCCCCATCCCAGATGGCGAATGCGGGCTACTACTGGCCGTCAATGCAGTCCGACGCGAAAGGGCACGTCAAACGGTGCGATAAGTGTCAACGACACGGAGACATGCACCTCGCCCCCCCAACCGACCTCACCTCCCTCTCATCTCCATGGCCGTTCGCCTGGTGGGGGCTGGACATCCTCGGACCCTTCCCCCTCGGTTCATACCAGAACAAGTACCTCATCGTGGGAGTCGACTACTTCACCAAGTGGATCGAGGCTGAAGCTCTGGCCAAAATCACCGCCCACAACATACTCCGATTCTACAAACGCAACATCCTCGCCAGATTCGGGGTACCACTCGCCATCGTCACCGACAACGGCACACAATTTACAGACAAAAACTTCCGCGAATTCGTCACCAACCTCGGGACCAAACATCACTTCGCCTCGGTCGAACATCCTCAGACAAACGGCCAGGCGGAGTCGGCGAACAGAGTTATACTCAGAGGACTCAGACGACGCCTCGGAGACGCCAAACGAGCATGGGTCGAAGAACTCCACAGCGTCCTCTGGGCATACCGTACTACTCCTCACTCAACCACAGGGGAGACCCCATTTCGCCTCACGTACGGAACAGAGGCCGTGATACCGGTCGAAATCCGCGAACCGTCCAGACGAACGGAAGCTCCCCTG